CATCACCTCACCTAGCGCCTCTCGACCCATGGTTAGTTCTCTTCCTGTGTTGTCCCCTCCCAGTTTGGCATTCATGTCGCCCCACCCATTAGAATTTTGATATCGCCAGCTGAGGTCTTGTCCAGTGTTGATTGAAGTTGTGTGTAGAATTCCTCCTTCTTCTCTTCATCTGCATTATTTTTAGGTGCACAGCGTAGCATTGTATGATTGTGACCTTCCTTCCTTCCTTTTGAGTTAAATCTTGCTGCCATGATCCTGGAGGAGGAGATTGGTTCCCACTGCATGAGAGTGTTCGATGCTGTTGGGAGGGGGGCATTATGATAGCCACTCCCTCAGTGTGCTAATGGTTGTCGTCTTGGTGACAATATCGGAGTAGATTGCTGATTCTTCAGTTGACAGTTTGGAGAGTCCACTCCCATTCCATCTGCTTTCGCAAATTCCAAGCACTTATATGTGATACCTTCTCATCTTTTTTGCGACCTGGGCTGCCTTGCTGGGTTCAAACATGATGCAGACATTCCATGTCCCCACATTTACCACCTCTATGGAAAGCTTATATTTTATAATTTTAAAATAACAGCATCATGAAACTATTGACCATACGAATGCCAGTTTACAAGTGCCTAATATGTCAGTAGAACCCAGCCAGTTCAGTAATACGGACGGTAGGGAACTTGGAATGATTCAGCACATAATTTTTAACTCGAATCAGTGAGAACCACTGAGAACAAGTGGAAAGTTGGAAAGTTTTGGTCTTACTTTAAAACTCCTCAGTTGAGTACCCCCATAAACTCATATTGGGTGAAGTCTGAGATGGATTAGTTCTAAATGAGTACCAACTATCTTTACTTGATCAAGAAGGCACATACCGAGTAGTTAACCTATTTATTTCAATTGCCAAATGACTAAAAATATTTTCATTCATGGTGTCGCTTACTTGAAGGAAAATAAATGATGCAAGGTTGTATAATAAAATCAGTCATATATTCGACTTTATGCAGTTACAAAAAGCTATTTTAGTTTTCACCAACTGAAACCGGATTAGCAAGAAGTAATAAAATGAAGAAATTTTGCTCTACAACGAATCATTTTCAGTAGCTATATAACCGTATTTATTGCAAAAACAGACAGTAAGTCTTTCTTTCGGCGAATAAGTCAAAATTAGGTCATCAAGAGGGAATGTTTTAGGAAGAAGTTTTAAATAAAAAGCGCGTACATCTCGACTAAAAGAACTCATAAATTAGAACTTATTGTTTCTCAGTCGCGATAAAACTGCTGGTATCTTCGTTATGGAGTGTCTTAAATGTGCTGCTAAGTTGTCTACCGTACTATCAGATAAGAACGGATTTTCAACGCAAAGTGCTCCAAAAGATACAAATTAAGAAACTAAGGACAATTCATTATTTTGGTACTTGCATTTTCAAATGAATATGAAACAGAACAAACCTGTTTCATCTGTAGCTTCGTTGCTTCATGCTAACCGCCGTTTCAGATACCCTCTTTAAACTATCAAATCAGAATTTGATTTTAATATCTACAAATTGGCGAATAAATAAAAGATAGTCAAAATCTTCAGGCAGATGGAAAGGAGCTCATCATTAGCTTTGGCCTGTTCGAATACTTGAAGCCACCCATGACCCTATGATCTCTTGAAGGTAGACTAGTAGGATGTTCTCCTCTATCCGATATTGGATATGAAGAATCCTATCAAACTATGAAGCCGCTTAGTGGCTGACTTACATTCTTCAGACAGTGAGATTCTGAAATAGCGGGCATGCTTCACTTGACTGATTCGATTTTTTGACTCAATAGCAAACCTCAGTTTATCTTGAAAACGAATGCAGTCATTTGAACATTACAAGTGTTTCATGTCGAACTGCATCGAAACTAACAACGTGATTATCGATGTTCCAGCTGACTACCTTAAGAAATTACTTGTGTGATGTACGTCTTTGCAACGGTACCATCATCAAGCTCTCTACCAGCAGACTGCTTCATGGTTAACCGGTAGAATACCGTATTACGTTCAGTATTCGACCAGTCCCAGCTTGATAAAAGACAAGTAACGGGGTAATTTCATCGTCTACAATGAGGACACCAACCCTGAAGCCATACTCCTATAATTCAGAGAATGTTATCTCTTGATGGATGGAAGTTGATAACGGCTCAAAAGTTCGCTATCTTGATACTTCGTTCAAGAGGAGACCCGATGACTCTTCTATTAGTTTTACCAAAACGAAACCTACTTGAAATTGGCAGTATACTCATTTTCAAAACTGGAAGCCATTGAGTAGGAAAAGGAACCTAAGTCATTCACTTTATATGAAAACAACAGTTTTCACAGATAAAGGGATAGACAAGGAGAAGGAAAATCTTCGTAAATTCCTTCGGGGTGGCTTACCCCATGATTCATTACAAGAAACACGAGGCAAAAAAGCTACAGAAACGACTTCTTGCTGCTTCTAAAAAGACCTTTTCAGTGAATATAGAACTTAGGAGACAATGCTGTAGAATAACTAAGCAAACAACCTTTTTAAACAATCAAGCAAGTAATCTATACTGCTGCAATTTGACCAATCTTTTCCAGGTAACAGCTGATTCATGGAAATGTGAAAGACAAATTCCAGGTTTGAGCCACACTTATGCTTATACACCAGTCCGAACTTTCTTACAGAGCTGCTAATGCAAGCCACACGAAGTCTAGTTTTTTTAAAAGGTATCTGCTAGCGGTATTCTGCTTAGTTGTCCAGAAGAGAATGTAGCTTGAACCACAACTCTATCCTAGACCATTTTTCCAGCTCTGGTGAGATAACTTCGCCACAGACTTCTTTTAAAACCCTACATGAAGCCAAATTGAACGGTTTAAATAAAGTGTGGATTCATCATTCGATGCGCAGTGACTCAATAATTAAAGCCAGAGCTCCGCCTGTTGAAGAAATACGTCCAGTCTCTTATTTTGCCTTGGTCATAGTCTTCCTTGTATATGATTGTGCAGCTACTGAAAACGATCAGTTGAAAAGAGAGTTTTCTTAGCTAACTTACTTCGTGCTAACTTGAGTGACACCAAATCTGTCACTGCTTAGATTTTTCTTGGCTTATCAAAGACTGGATAGAGTACACAGCGCAGCAGTATGCCTTGACAAGATGATAAGTTACTATGCAGATACTTGTTTACTTTCCAGAATTACTTTTTTGAAAATACTAAAACTGTGACCAGGAATGATACTAAAAAACGTATATAACCCCCTGTAGTGCTGTAGTGGGTCAGTTAATATAGATTTTTACTAGGTGTCAGTAAGATAAAAGTGCTTGCTGAGAAAAAATATTCCTTTAAAAATTTATCTTCCAGTTGTACCTTCATTAGTATGCAGTAGTGTTCCCTGAGTTACTTAATATTCTATAATTAATGTCTCAACTTTTGTTGAACTGATAACTAGACAGATGGAATTATTTACTTCTCTCAAGACATCGCTGGTACTTATTTGTCAGCATTTGCGTTTACCACTATAGTTAAGACTTCTGCGCTATTGCAAGCTATTTAGAATCATGTCACCGAGAATTTCATACCACTAATTTTGAGCCTTTCCTTGACCCCTGGCAAGAACTATATACCAGACCAGCGGTCCAAGACTTCACCGACCGGTGCCACCTTGGTCTGACCACTATGAACTTTCTTCCACCCTAATCCTACTCCAGCTAACATCGTTCGTAGAATTGGGTTCTGGCTCGATATGTATGAAACATGTTTAAGCAATCTCAATCTCTGAAAGTTAACAAATTTACCTACTGATTTGTATTCTCTACCTATAATCCTACGCCTGACTTTGGAATTCCTCACATGGTGATGCCACCGTAGATGAACAACTCCATAGAGTTACCTGTGTTCAAAACCAGTAGTTTTTTCATGTCTTCTTTCTTCAGGGGCAATGTCATACGGTTGCATAATAGGACATGGTGGACTGCATGGTATCAAACTTATCTTTCAGAAGAATTAAGATATATTGTACGTGTTACAGGTGAGATAAGCTGGCAAGTGGCAACCAGGCCTATTGTATCTGAGTTAATATTTCATAAATAACTAGACTGTTTAGGTTAGTGAAACTCTTCACGTAAATGAGTTGGTCAAAGTACTCTATCGCCACTACTCACCCTCAAATTTAAAGTCAGTGCAGTTCAGTCTTGCAGAATGAAATGCATTACTCTACTTTTTAGACTGATTTCCATCACCTTCAACTATCGAAAGGCCCCAGTTCTGCATAAAACATTATTATTGTTAACATTTTTTTAAAAGTCTTTTTCACACCATTTTTTACAGCGTGGTCAGTAGTTCATTTTCTGCTCCCATTTGCAATGTAGTTCACTGATTGGTTAATTCTTACTGTTAGTATATTAATGTCTCAATTTCCGGATAAGGTCATATCCCATGTGTATACATACTCATATGTGTTTGGGTTAATTGATTATTATTCTCGGAGGAATAAATTCTCCCTGACAGTTCTTCTCTGTTCTTCACGGGTTGGAGTTGGTGATTCTTGCGTACAAAATTAGCGTGCGTATTGTATCCGATCAGAATAGACGTTAGTTCACTTTGTTTACTTATGCTAGAGAAAAGATTTATATTGCCAAGCAACATTACACAAGTTATGGGACTCTCAATTTTGTGAATACAGTTAATGCAGTAATTCTTACTGTCAAAAACGTCACATGCATTCATCTTATATTAAACCATCGGAAAAAGAAACGTATTTCTATTCACGTTGACTTTTGTGTGAACCTCTCATATTTATGACACTACCTTCGATTCACATATCAAAACACTTAAAATGATCTACTTCACGAATCTTCACCAAAAATTAACGCAGTTTGTAAAGGTCAGTGTTCATGGGGCAGACTACTATGATATATTGCAGAAAAAACTGTCACTTATTGGTTCACTTCCATCAGCTCTTATTACTAAAAAATCATGGGGACTTAAACTGTTTACATTTCAGTTAACTCACTTTTATGGACTCTAGTTGATTTAAAACATGCTGAGGTACTTCTGGTGGTTCTGAGGTATTATGAAATAAATTCACTGTTACTAAAGGTGTTTCGGTATGATTGTTTTTTATATGCTGTCGTCTGTCTGAGGCATTTTCACTATTATTACCGTGATCATTATATGTATTGTTACGATTGTTGGTTGTTCTCTTTATCAATTGTTTTGGCCTTAGATTACTGAACAGAAATTCCTTTGAAATTGAACTCTGTGACAGTAGTCTATCGCTGATTGCCCAATCACTATCAGGACAGAGATTAGAGATATGTGAACAAGAAACTCCTGATAATGAAGTATTTGAAATATTCAATGATGAAAATGATGAAGATCTTGACAAAGAATTCAATGTGGTCACTGAAGATGAACACGCTGACTCGTCAGCAAAGCGTACATGTTTCAAACTACTGTACATTCTGTTACGACTGAAATTATTAGTATTAGTGTTATCCACTGCTTTATTTTTAGTAACCTTACTGTTGTTCTGGTTGCCACCATCTGGATTTTCGTCACTGTTATCATCACCATCATCATTTTCATCGCTATCACCAGTGTGTGTTAAAATTTCTTGAATCCATTTGCCTAAATGACGTTCGCGATCTTGATAGCATGGATGATATTTAAGTTTTTCAAAAGGGGAAATTAATCTTGCATTGTTTCTCCTATTCATCATTATTGAAGTTATCGTTGGACTGGAACGTTTGTTTTCACTGAATATTTCTTGTTGTTGCTGACATGGTGATGACAGTTGGGATGCTACACACTCAATCGATGGTACACACTTCAATGCATATAAACAGCATATATTTCCAGTTGACAGAGAATGATTACTTGGTGAAAGTAAATTTAAATTCGACACCTGATTTGATATTTTGTTTAAATCTTTTTCTTCACTGTTGAACAAACTTTCCTTGCATGTTGACTTAGGATATTGGTAATAAAAATGATAATGAATGTGTGAACACTTGCTAATTATGCGACTATGCACATAAAAAGGCTGTAGTAAACAACAATCGGAATGATAATGTTTATGTATTATTATTTGACTGTTATGTGAACCTGAAGATTTCATCTGTGGAACGGTTCTTCCATCATTTACAAGCATATTTTTAGTGTGATCAGTGTTTTCTACCTTCATAGATTTACATGCCTCTATATTATAAAGTTCCTTAGAATGATGATGTTGGTGGTGGTGATAATGATGCTTGTGATAGCTTTTAGGCTTCTGTCCTTGTGACTGAGATCGTGTTCGTGACCATATACTACGTAGCCGTAGGATAAGATTTACACGGAATTTTCCCACTTTATTTAATTTAGGCAATTTCGGATTAAGTAAACTCAGCGATGGAAGTAGTTTATGTCTTCTCACTCCAGAAGTATCATCCTCTTGAAGTGAATTATCACTTGGGTCTTCCTCTGTTGAATAACTCGTCAAATTTGTAGTATTTGTAATGAAACTTGTTCGTACAATATAATCACATGGTCGTTTTCTGTAGTCACGAGAGGCTTGATCAGGACAATTAGTTTCTGAAATACAAAAGAAAAGATTTAACACTGATAATAACTGTTTCAAAAATGAGTTACAGTAAAAGAAACTAACATAAAGGTGAACTTGGTTATAACTTGTTGATGCGTACACTATCCTACTGGTTACGATGATGATGGAGATGGAAATTGGAATAGTCTAAAGTACGATTTGTTAAGTTGATATAACATCTAGGTATCCAGTAGTACTTGCTGGATATATTACTATATCAAATAAAGAAATATGATGTGGAAATACATTCTGCCCTTTGGCTGAAGTTTTACTCTTGGATATAGAAATTTTTCGTTAACATGGAAAGCTTTTCAATGAGAAACACCCAAAAGTGATCATGAGTTATTAACTCTAATATAAAAGTGCTAAGGGTTAGATAACGTTACATAAGTAGTTAGAAACTACTCGTGGTGATCTGCAGATTTTGCTCATTTAATGAAGAGGTTATCATTGGCAAGTCTGAATATAGTCTGTGTTTAGTAGTTGAAGAGCTGTTTAGTTGTCAGAGACATGAATATGGACTAAGTAATAAGTGAATAATTTACAAACTTTTTAACAGTTAGCTAGATGCAGTTGATTCAAAAAATAAATTTCTTTAAAGTTGAATTTACCTACCTCAATGTAATGTTGATGGACCTGTTATCAATATGGTCAAATGACCATCTACTATTTAAACTATTGCAGTCTGTCTAATGAAATCATTAGGTTAGTGGTTTTCAACTTCTTGTGTCACTGAATGGTCTACTCCTACTTAAATAGGTGTCTACGAATTACAAGTAATTCTATAATCAGTCTGAAAATAAATCTAGCTAATTTCTGTCAACGTTGTGAATTCATTTTCTTGACGCAGGTTGGTTGTCTCTGGGATTGGTTATTGAATGAAAAATGTTTAGTCGTCCGATAGCTGATCTCATATCAATGACCTGTAATCCCGATCAACGAAGTGAATAGATCTATCTGACAAAGTTTATTGGTTATCTCAGTGCCATATTTCGGAAATCTTCACTGTTTCTAATGAGCGGCCATGATTAGACATGTGTATTAAGATTCATGTTGACACACTATTATTCACTATAGTCCGAGAGAGTATTTAAAAATCTGTTTTAAAAGAAAGTCATTCTGCTAAGTGTGTTGCTTTTGCAGTTTGGACAAAGTTTTATAAACACTGACCCTATGATTCTTCAATACAAAATCTTAAATTATAGTAAAGATGGATAGTGGATAGCGGTGGGATCCAGGATATGCGATTCGTCCTATTTAGGACTCGTCAACTGGATGTACCTGCCTCCTGCTGATTGATGTTGTTCCCACTGGAAATTATACAGAATCTTTAATTAAACATAAGACTGCTTGCTATAAGGGGTCATTTCAGTCTATGGGGACGGTCTATTCAATACTGTCTGCGCAAAAAGCTTGTGATTGCAAAAATCGTTTCTTCAGTGTAGCACGACTGTACTGCTTTATCGGCAATAAATTCTTAGATTTCACCATTAATAAGTCAGGTATTTCAGTTACTTTTTCTCCTTAAGAAGGCCTGACAACGATCATTTTTTGTAATTCCACTCAGTTACTCTAGAGGAGAATGCCTTAAATAATATATGTACTTAACTTCTTTTCTGCTTCGTTCCATATTAGTTCTGATGATGGACAGCGGTTAGCAGTTGACTCCAGGACGCACTTTTTGTCCAGTTTGGCGGTGTCAAAGCATCTACTTACGAGTCCATATGCCAACAGTGGCTGATCACTTCGGTCCAGTCGACGACGGAGACTTACATCCTATAAAATCAAATCTAAATTAGTATTATTTTTGGGTTTTTGAGGATTTATTTATTGATATTAGGTTGGTATTCGTCGTTGGATACCTGTTTCGTCCTATTATGGTACTTCTCAGAAGTGCTTATCTATGCTGTCACCAGAGATCGAACTAAGGGCCTTCAAATTTCGCTGCCAGCGGATTCCTACCCAGTGGTTCAGTGATAATATTTCTACAAAGATGAATTCACATATCTTTGAACATGCTACGAAGTCGTTGACACGACTGCATAGTGACATAAACACTTGATATCATTTCCATCTTATTAGGAGGTGAAGCGTTCGGATTATATCTAAACAATTGATTCATTATGTTGTAGTTTGCTTGGTAGTTAGCAGTGAAATTGAAGAAGCGCACTCCGTCCTATTTGGAGCTCGTTAGTTGGGTGTACCTGCACCCCAGTGGGTGACATTGTTCCCAGTGCGACTGATAACTCGCACTCATCGATTCAAATGCGTTGTCCACAACAACATACTGAGTACTTGGGCAGTACTGAGGTATTAATATAGGAGCCCATCCGTCAGCAGAGGTCGAGTAATTCAACCAAATATAATGTAACAGAAGATTAAAAGTGTCAAACAACTTCCGATTCATATCATTCACAACAAGCATGCACTGTAATATTCATATCTACAAATCATGTTAGGCGGCAGTTGGATGACTGATATCTGCCACGAATACATTTAGTATTTCAAACGGTGTTATCAACAGTATCATGACATCAACTTGATATCCCACCTGTCCTCAAATAAGAAATACTTTTAAAATAGGAGTGAAATTTTGGCACTGTGGTAGACTGTTATTCCATTTTAGTCTGTTTATCAAAAATGTCACGAAGTGAAACAGTATTATTTACTAGATAATGTTTTGGGCATAAATTATTGTCCACATTCATTTCAGACATGATATGAATAATTAATAATGCAGTTTCACTGTGTAACAATCCTAATGATTAGACTAAAATGGAATGAAGTACCTTTCCACCTAGGTAAATGGTCAGCCCAAAAGAAACTAAATTTATTCACTATTAACTCGGTTTATTTATTAGTGAGACATAAATTGGATAAAAGTGGTTTGTGGAGTCAACTAAATTCTGAATCAGGACAGATATTACGTGATGTAACTGGATTTCTCTTGCCTACTAGAATTCTAATGTGCCGTAAAGTACAAGAGTTTGTTCTGTTTTACTTTGTGACAGTGAAAAATGACTATCACAGGTGAAGACTATGAGAAGACTTCAAGAATCCGATCATAACTATTTTTATAACTCCACCTACTTGTGGCTGAGCCATCACGAGAGTAGTGTAGCGGTCAGGTAAAGAATCACAGGTACACAACAGGTAGGTGAGTTGATGACGCCGTAAGATTTCATCCACCTAGGTGGTCAAGGCATCGTCTACCCAAACACATGATGTTAGTTAGAGTTAGTTTAAAAGAATTTTGAGGATAAATAGACCAAAACAGGGCATCGGTCTAAGCCAGTAAAATGCCGGTCTGAGCCATGTGTGGAAGTGCAGGTTCAGGTTCATGGTCTACGTGATAACCAAATCCGATGGTTGGAGATTAAACTCGATAATGGTTTACGACTGATCCCAATAGAACGAATGCATCTTGAGCCTATTTCCTATACCGCATTTCGTTAATTACCCCACCTCACATTCTCTTGGTCCCAATGGTCTTTGCAAATTTTAACCAAAGTATTGGCAGCATTTCATATTCTTTCTCTTTAATTAGTGTATCTGTATGATAATAGCAACAGTAGTAACTTGGATTATTACACAGTATCTCTGGCTCCTAAAATGATGGTTTCTGTCGATGTCTTATGACACTGGATTACCACCAGTTTATTTTCAAGAATCACTTGAAGCTATGAAATATCCAAAACTGCATCCCAATCTATCGTCTGAACTGCAACATGCTGGTTAAGAGACTTTTAAGTCATAAGTTCGATCACATGTGAAATTCTGGTTGTTCATTGATTCAAAATCCTAAACAAAGAATGAATAACTATCTCCTTTTCGTTGTTTTTCGTCAATGCACTGGTTCTCTCAGTTCTTGATAACAACCCTTTTCAGGCTGACTCATTTATTGATCTCTCGTGACATACTTTAGCCGCTACGTGTCAAGTCTGGATAGTTCACGTAACAAAATTAAACGCCTGATAAACAAATCAGTCAGTACAATATTATTTCATTTACGTTCTCCAAAGTGTAATGAATGCATTTTTTCATTTTTATTCACTGACCTTGACCATCTAACACAGAAAACTCACAAAATTCCATCCAAATATTTATTATTAAGTCATATGACAGAAAAAATGTAACCTTAAACATCAGTAGAATTTTTATTTCCATATCTTAAATTACGATTCAACTTTTCTCATAACCAGCTTAAATATACCATTGATGTATAAATGAGATAGAAACCCAATACGGATAACCTATAAGTGGTTTCTGAAAGGAATTTAAATACTAGTTTTGAAACCTCGAACAAAGGGGCACAAAACGGAGAATAGTCTTGAATAGAAAAGAAAGAGGGAATAAGGATACCAATCAAAGTAAAAGCCTTAGTAAATCGATTGGCTTTTACTAACACCTACGGGGTTGGGGGGCGAAAGAGTGAGTGGTCACAAAATGAAACTTACAATTTCTGTAAATATATCGAACTACCATAATTACTTCCCTATAATGCCTCCAGAGCTATTGTGCAAAAGTTTTGTAATGCTGGAGGCATATTAATTTGAATTTCGAAAATGTGGAGGCCTAGAATGCAAAATAGTTGTTTAAATCTGCTATTTTTGCTCAAAACCAAGCAATGGAAAAGCTAAACGATAGGCTGACGAAGGCCCTGGATTTGAAATTTACACATAGTTTTGCAATAAATTTAAAAAAAGTACTATGTGAGATTCTGGAACTCAAAGGTTGTTTAATGTATGGCAATTAAATGAAACCTAAAGACCTTGTGTTCGATCCCTGGTGTGGTCATGGGTGTACATTGCTGAGGAGCTCCACACTTGAACGAAAACGTTGTCCAGTGCCTCCACGTTTTTAATGGTCCTCTAACTAATGTTAATCCGTGACGAATATTTACTTGAAATGAAACTAAATACAGTTTTAGAGCAAGGTTATAAAGGAGATAGTCAAAAAAAGGATTTCTTAGAGTCTCAAAAAAATTTAC